CCGTATTGCGATGAAACATCGATTTTCAGGACTCCGTTAGATTTTTTTAGGTTAGAATTTTGGCTGCAGTACCATTTGCGCTCTGGGCTAGCCGCCTATGGGCCGCGGCTACTAGCAAACTTTAGAGGATGTCTGAGGGGGTGACGCGGATACATCGGATAGGCAACGGATACTAAGTGAAGGTATGCAGCTCGGGGAGGCTGTTAGGACGATTGTAGCATCCAATTTGACCCTGGAATCCTAGTTGGCAAAGGCACGATAGAATAAAATAGAGGAAGGACAGTATGAGAAAAGCGGGTAAGAGTGAGATAAGACGTTTCGGTCCATTAAGTCATATACGTCCTTAACTCACCACCGCGACAGGACCTCGCGTCAGTATGACGGTCGCAGTACTTAATGGAAAAGGAAAAGTGGAAAGAGAAGAAAGGGGAATGCTGTGATCGTAGGATTAGCAGGAGTGAGAATAGGGTGAAGATAAGAAGAATGAGATTTACCTGCATTCGTATGTGGGAGCGTTCCAGTAACATCACACTAACATGAGATACTTTTTGGTATGCTTGCTGTATGTGGTTTTTTGTGGATACCACATACAACAGGGATATATCAAGACGATCTACTGTGTTATATCTTTTTTTTTTTTCGAATCGTTGCTATGTTTTTTTTTAAATTATAAATCACTTAAACACTATTTCCAGAATTATGTTTTATTTGATGATCATGCTGACATGCGAGAAGAAGGATCAACTTCAACAGTCAGTGCCCGAGAGGAACTGTCGGAAGCATTTGACGAGCTGAATTTGGCGTCCGATGAAAATCATTTGCCATCCGGTGAAGAAGCACGGGCTGCAAACAGAGAACCCGAGGCAACAGGCGGAGGATTGTCGACGACAAACCGGGAATTACCGACATCAGCCGGAGAACCATCAGCGTCATATAGTGGTGAAGCACCGGCATCACACAGGGAACCAGAAGCAGCACCAGAAGGAGGAGCTGCTGATTTGGATGAGCAAGTGAAAGAGGCGTTAAGAGTAAAGTACGGGTTTTTTTAATGCGTTTTGTGCTGTATAATACCGTTACAGCGTATTGTCGCGGGGTTGTCTGTGTGTGTGGCTGTGTGTGTGTGTCCGCAGCAACTTGTCCGCAGCTTTCAACTTGGGAACCACAAAAGCTAGGAAGCTGATAGTTTAGGGGGGACGTTCCTCACCCACGTGCGACCTCGCAAATTTAAATTCAGCCTCTCCGTACCCACGGGTGACACGTATGACCCCGTAAAAGTTTGGGCGGGTAGAATTATTATCACGGGAACCACGGAAACTTGAAGGCCGAAATTTTGTGTTCATGTCCCCCATCATGTACTACACAGGAAATTTACGCAGATAACAAGCACGGCCCCGTGAAAATTTTTGGCGGGTAAATTATTATCTCGAGAATCGCGGATTCTATGAAGCTGAAGTTTAGGGTTGTGACTCCCTGCCCACGTACTTTGCAAATTCAAATCCAGTGTTCCCGTGCTCTCGGGTACCACTCACGGCCTCGTGAAAATTTTTTACGGGTAAATTATTATATCGGGAATCACGGAAGGATGTTCACCATTCAAGATTTCAAATTCAACTTTCATGAGCCGGTGCGTGAAATTTTTGACTTCTTTTCAACGTTTCAACTATTTTGCACAGATTAAAGTATAAAGCAGTGAAAATCATTAATAGGCAATCGTTCGGTGGGTGGAATTGCACAAAACGCATGATCGCATCAGCTAATCTGGTGCGCGTTGCTGCTTATTATGAATTGCTTCTGTATATTGTTTAATCGATTTTGTTTTTGGCACACAGGCGTCATACCCGGAAAAAGCTGTTAATTCGCTTATTATTTAATTTATCTGTACAATAGCTAGCTTTTTTGCATTTTCCCTGTCCTGCAGTGCTTTGCCCGATTGCTCATCCATAGTGGCGAGCGTGGCATTTGCTTCGTTTTTAGTGGAAATTAGCCTTTAACACAGTTTTTTTATAAACTGGTGCACTTGACAAACTACTTTGTGATGTCTTTGGTGTGTGTTGAGCATCACAGCTTGTCCGAAAGGTTGCGGCTGTTAGACTTCAATAAGGTAATTTATCAACTAGAAGTGTAATCATACAAAACAGATGCGTCGTGAAGGAAAAATTTTGCCAAAAAAGGAAAAAGTGTTTTTTAGAAAATGGGGTATCTTATCAACCCTAAGGACTCAAATATTGTCCAGACATTTATTTCTCCAAGAGCGATTCAGGGGAATTCTTTGTTTACTTCGGAAAACATTGGAAGCAAGTGCGGAGGGATGGAAAAGTAGCGGACTGAAAAAAAAAGAACTTGATAAATTTCGGTTATTTCGATATGGTATGTTAGCATAAGCTCTCCCTGTAGCTTCTTGCTGGCCCCGCCACCTCATTTTTTTTTACGAGATGGAGGCATCTGAAATAGAAGAATAGAAGGATTTCACTTGAATGTCATGTGTGTATGAAGACATTTTTTTAATGATGCAGTCTCTGTGTGTTTCATCCCTTAGCTGTATACACAGACCGAACATTGCATGCGGGTAGGAGTGGGAATCATCCAGATAACAGTACTTTTTAAATAGCAGTAATTTCCTAGCAAAATTGCCGACATTTTTTTCCAAAATTTGCTAGAAAAGCAAGCGGCTATTGGTTTTCACTCCTTGTCTCTTCACGTATCACGACAGTTACAATTTACCGCTGAAATGAGCCATGGACGAATTAAAATTATTTTCACTGGTAAATTTAAACCAGCAGCTCCTCCCTGTGAGTTGCTGCGTTACTTTCCTTTATTGTAACAAACCCCTAAGCTTTTTCCATGTCCTGATTTAAAAAAAAAAAAAAAAAAAA